AAACCATACCTTCTTTTCTGGTTAGCAAACCTGCTGTCAATGTTTTACTTTTATGAAATATTCAAATGCAGTGTCCAGTTTAGACAAGTTTGAATCTTGATCATTCACTGCTTTGTCCTCCACCACCAGTAAAGGGGTTCTCCAAGACCAGTCTTATTCAGAATCAGGCCTATGAGGAAAAAAAAATGCAGCTACCGAAGATCCATGTAGCCACATGTGGTGCATACTGGGCCTGGTCACCATGAAAGAAGGCAGCTGCCTGCCAGACACACTGAGGGACAATTGCTGTTGCCCAACCCCCCAAGGAATTCTGTGTGAAAACCACTGAACAGTGTGTGGCCCACCTAGCAGCTCCCAATTCTCTGCTAGGAACCCCCTAAATAGAAAATTTTATATTTCTGAAAAACATGGACCTGAAATGAATGCTTGTTCTTTCCTCCCTTCATCCTAAGACTGTGGCTCCTACATTTATTTCAATTCCTCTCCACAATGTTCCAGAGAGGAAGGTCTTTCTTTGCAGCACTGATTTGGTTTCAGGTCCATTACTCCCAGGTACAGCAAAACCATTTAGAATATTTAAGAAATATTCAAATGAAGTTGCCAGAGAGGAGTTCGCAATCTCCTGTTGAATCACCTATGCCATCTGTCCAGAATTTCCTCAAGAAATTACTATGAAAACATGCAACCAAGAGCAAAACAGCATCCCCAGACTTCTTTGTAGATGTGTTCTTAATGTTCAGGATAATTATCTTCTCAACAAGATTTGGTAATTTAAGGGCTTCATAAATGTTGAAGACATTTCAGCATCTTGGTCTATATACAGATGAAAGCCGTGATCATAGAAAACTTACAAAAACATCTCTTTGGGGAAAATGAGAAGAATTTGCTATATTTACTAAATAATTTAGCAGCTGCATTCAGTCTTTTTTTTCGAATTATATTCTGGCAGATGCAAAGTGTTAATTTGACTCAGTTGTGCTCTACCTAACAGACTCCTGGGTGTCTGGATGAGCAGCTGTGATCTCCCTCAACTTCTCACCCAGGGTCATCCCCCAGACTCAGCATCCTGACTGCCTCCCCTCAGCACCTGCCTCAGCAGTAGTGACATAGTATGGATTACAACTGTGGCAACAAGCCAGGCTTCAAGAGCTGTGGTTTCTATCCTGTGCATCCACCAAGATCTAGATACATTAATGCTGTTGCACTTACATAGGTTGGGCTTTCTTGAAAGAAAGATCAACAGCCTCTCAGCAGAGACAGCAATGTTCCACAATGTTGGCAAAATATTGCAGTTGAGAGTAATGTTTGCTGAACTCTTTTGACGTCTGCCTGAAAATTGCCCATGAACAGTTAGCAAGATTCTCAAATGTGCTCATTATCTGGAGGATTATCCTTGATGTGCAGTCAGTTCATAAAAGATTTGCTGCAAATCCTCACAGTCCTCATCAAGACAATTACTCACAGAAGTTACACAGTACAGCTTTCTGTGCTCTGGCTGGGTGGCTTCTCTGGCTTTCACAGCATGAGCTGTGAATAGTGCAATTAAGTGCTCAACTTCTTGTCACAGTACGGAAACATGATGCTAAACATTTGCTTTTTGCAATCAGCTACCTTAGCAAAGCTTGAGCCTTTGATTACTTATAGTGTGACAAACAGGTTGGGAAAAGGGACAGATTGAATGAAAATATTTTTAAAAACAAGGATCCAAGAGCTTAAAGCGTTGCTACTGCCCTGCTAAAAAGCTTCCTTTCGCTCCACTTGAGAAAGGAAAGGAGGTGTCACTTCCCTTTGCCTGTGTGTGTCCCCAGATGTTAAACGGCCTATTCCAACAGACAAAATCCAAAGCGGATAAAAGCTTTTCAGTCTCCCTGTGATAACCCATATCCTCTTGTTACAAGATCTTCAAATGTCAATACTAAATTCAAGATCATGGCAAAACTGAAAAAAACCCAGTCATCCTTAAGTGACAATATACTGAATCCAGTATCAGGACTAAACCACAATATATTAATTCGCTACACACTTTAATATTGAAGACAGCTTTAGAAATAAGTACTATTGACTAGGTTAAATGTGTTCTGAACAGCTTCTGGGCAAACTGCTAAATGAACCACAGTAACATGCGGCCAATTGAAGCTATGATTTAGATCATAGCAATCTTAGTTCACATACGTTATTCCTCCTCTTTTCCAAATGAGGAATTAACACAACAGTTTTAACTCACTATAATTTGAGTACATTAATTTTGCACTCTGATTTCATTCTGTGTAATACACATTTTTGATATACAAGTCCCGCATATGGCTGAAAATTTTATTTTCAAGTCACAACACATGACAACAAAAAGGTTTACTATCACAGACTTTGATGCTGTGAATAATTTTGCAAGGTTCCTAGGATTATTCCTGTGTTGAAAGTAAGCCTGACTTAGGCACTTATTTAGGTCTTTGATTAATTAGCATTGTCTTTAATAATAGAATTTGGCAAACTCAGAAATTCTTGACTAAATCATCACGAACTATTTCACTGCTTAGTTCATATTTCCCTGCCTAATCAAGCTATGTATTTTCTTACTTGTGCAAGCTAAACATAATTGAAGCTCCTGTGCAGAAACAACATTACCAGAAATAATTTGTAGGAGCATTTGACCTGCGGCCAAAAAAAAATACGTGACATAGCTATTTATCCAACCCCCTCTGTGATACTACAAAGAGGGAGAGAGATCAGTCCTGGAGGCAACAATAATCTCACCTAAATTACAGACCAAGACTCCTCAGCTAATTTAGTATTGTATTTACAGTATTGGCCAATTTTGCTTATACTATTTTCTTTCAAATCTCTTCCCCATACATAGCAAAAAGCTCAAGTAAAGCAGGAACATGAACTTTAATTTTTACATCTTTACCTCACAACAGAGTAGGAATAGCAGAGAGACCCATCATAGGAAAGCATAAAGCTCTCTTTTTGGTTTTTTCCCCCCCTCAATCTTCCTAAAAAGTAATTAAATTTAAAACCTCGCTCATCGGGAAAACTACAGCCAGTTCACCCTTAACCACTTTACCTGCACTTTGCTCAGAAGTTACCAGAGGGATGGCATAAAACACTCCAAGCCAAGGCATACCATCTGAACTCTTATTTTTCTTTTAAAAAAGCAAAACAAACAAAAACCCCCCAACAAAACACACAACAGAAAAAGATAAACTTGTTTCAAGAGACAGCAATCGAAGGGCCAACATAATGAACATTCATCCCACACAGTTATCTGAGAAAATAACTGAGAAAACTCTCATAACTGAGAAAAAAAAATCCCTACAATACCTTGGGATCTTTCTTGAAACTGGAGTAAGGTTTTTGTTGTTTCTAATCCTTTCAGAGCACACAAGATTGGATATCACAGCCATGACATTGCTGGACTGAAAAGCTATTTTATGTAATTTTGCAGTTTGTAAGAGGCAGTGGTTGCAATTTTCCTTTCCCTCAGATATCTGCACAGTGTTCATGGAAACTAATGCACCTGCCTTTATGAAAGAAGAGATGTAGAACACCATACACATTTAGACAATGCAATATATAGTTTCCTAAAATAATACATCATATGCAGAATATTATACTTATTTGTGAGATCTTAATGCTGGAGTCCATTATATACACTGACCTACATAACTCTCATTCTGTATCTCCAATCCATGACTTCTGTATTTCTTCCTTTATTAACAGAGGTTTCTAGACTTTACACTCTTACATCTTCATTCCATTATGGCATTTCGCACTTGGTGGTTTTCTCGCTGGCATTTCCAGTAGGGGTGGTTTGCAGAACTCAAAAACAAAGCCAGAAACAAAGCCAACCCACCAGATCAGGGATATGTTTTGCCTTTCTCAGAACTGTATCACAGTGGGTTGTTACAGCAGTATAGATCCCCTCTCCAGACATTACAGTAGCATTTGTGTGTATATATATCACTACTGTATTTATTCATAAGGATGTACACGTGCCTGCCATGCCAAGATCCTTGTGCTCTGCAGCCCTATGGAGCAATTAAAAGTCTCATTTAAATACACTGCTCCCAAACGTTTGCTGGTACTGCTTGGTGGGAAAATATAAATCCTGAGTCTTGGGACAAGTGATGAAGGAGATCACAGTCAACTTCATTAAATTCCCTCAGTTATAGGGCAAAACCAATTGAAACTGATGGAGCTCTGGAAGAGGTGAAAAATTCACATTACCCTGTTTTGTGGAAGGGGAGAGCAGTATGTGGGTTCTGGTCATTAAGTAACTAAAAGTGCATGTAATTAAGACTAGCAGGACAGTGCTAGTTATAAACGTTTGTAGGAAGATTAAAGTCTGTATGGATTTAGCAAATGTTCAGATTGTTTCTCTCCTGTTTTTAAACCTGAGTGTGAAATAGTGACACAGGACAACAGTCCTTCCCCTCTGATGGCCTGCTCTAGAGGCAGGCCATCAGAGTCTGAGTCAAAGCAGTGTGATATCAAAAAGGACGTTTCTAAGACAGAGCTTCTATCTTTTTACCCAAATCCATATATTTTTTGTTCTATCCAAAGTAAATGTGAAATATTTCAAAGACTCTTGCAAAAAGCTCCTCTGTTGCGTGCTTCTGCTATCCTTTAGCTCTGAAGTAACGCAATGGTAAAACCCGGGAAGGCGGAGCCTGCAGGCAGTCTCCAGCTGCTGGTGTTCCTTGGAGGAGTCAGCACTGACCTGGCAGGCTTGAGGCAGTTTGTCTAACATCCTCAAAATTATGATAAACAGAACTGTTTCCCAGCAAACTTGCTAAGAGCAGAGGAAGCTACAGGGCTTGCACACTCCCTGGATCCAGGAAAGCCTCAAAGCCACCCAGTGCTGGAGGCAGGTCTGGAACAGCAGCAGGATAGGGCTGCAGGAACCCCGGCCAGGCTGGCAAGCGCTCTGCACACCAGCCACCAAGGCAACAATGTTCCTGGGCTGCCATCATGGTTTATCTTACATGGTACAAAAATGATGTTTGCTCATGAAAAAACTGGTTTGGGGGGAGAGGAGAAACAAGCCAACAAAAATAACTGAACTGTATTAATTTATTTCTAGACTTTTATGGACTCTACTCCAGCGCTGATCTTTACATGGGTAAGACAGCATACACATCTCCCTCTCTCCCTCTCCCGTACCTTTACCAATCAGTCCCATTCTGTCTGATTTCCAGCAAAACATGCTCTTCTTAGCAGGACAGACATTAACAACATTAAGACCAAATCAGATTTGTAGGTATTTATGTGCATAGCTGCCACATGCTGTTGATCCTAAGCTAAAGTACATTATTTTTCATTCTTTAAATAATTTTAAAATGTTCCACAGCACATTTTGAAAGATTGTCCAGAAAACATTTAGGAAGCAAGAAAATGCTAGAAACCAGAAAATTATTTTCACATACCTTTTAAATTATCTAAATAATAACATGCTATGCATGCTTAATGTTTTTTATATAAAACCATCTATGAGAAATTACCAAACAAAAGCATTAGTTCAGTTACACTGCTCTATTCTAGTACACTATCTTGCACTGTGGTACCTCATGAGAAAAAAAGGAATATCTGAGAAATGCATTAAGACACTTAGCTTATTAATGGCCAGCCATATATAAGCTCATTTTTCTTGCCCCAGGCTTTTATGATCTAGCAATGGAAAATTTTTCTTCGTATTTTTCAGAAATAACAGAAAATTCCAAGAAATGGAAGCCGCTGCTAGTAAAAGAAGAAAAGCTGAGTATCATCAGGGTTAATAGCTCCTATTTGAGATCCATGAATGATTACAGAGTTACTTTTCTATATCGAACTTTCAAGTTTCATTAATAATATGCTGCCTCTCCAGGACATAGGTGCACTCCTTGTACGAAGGTTATTTATTCATCACATGGAATAGAAGAGCTAGAGGAACAATGGCTTCAAAAGTCTCGTGCTTATACATTTTGACAGTTGTTTGTTGGGCAAGTGCTCTTTGGTACTTAAGTATAACTCGTCCTACTTCTTCCTACACTGGCCACAGACAGGTCAGTAGCATATCCATAGCCAGAAAAAACGTTTCCTTTGGCAACATAAGAACTCGACCTATAAATCCACATTCCTTTGACTTTCTTATCAATGAACCCAACAAATGTGAGAAGAGCATCCCTTTTTTGGTCATTCTCATCAGCACAACTCACAAAGAGTTTGATGCAAGGCAAGCCATTCGAGAAACATGGGGAGACGAAAACAACTTTAAAGGAATTAAAATCGCCACACTATTTCTTCTTGGAAAAAATACAGATCCTGTGTTAAATCAAATGGTAGAGCAAGAAAGCCAAATTTTTCATGACATTATCGTGGAAGATTTTATCGACTCTTACCATAACCTCACTCTGAAAACGTTGATGGGGATGAGGTGGGTAGCGACGTTTTGTTCGAAAGCAAAGTATGTTATGAAGACAGACAGTGATATTTTTGTAAATATGGACAATCTTATTTATAAGCTGCTCAAACCTAACACTAAGCCAAGGAGAAGGTACTTCACTGGTTACGTTATAAACGGAGGACCAATAAGAGATGTTCGCAGTAAGTGGTACATGCCGAGAGATTTGTATCCCGACAGCAATTACCCACCCTTCTGTTCAGGCACTGGCTACATTTTTTCAGCTGACGTAGCAGAACTGATTTACAAAACCTCCCTCCATACCAGACTTCTTCATCTTGAAGATGTGTACGTTGGACTTTGCCTTCGGAAGCTGGGGATTCACCCCTTCCAAAACAGTGGCTTCAATCACTGGAAAATGGCCTACAGCTTGTGCAGGTACCGCAGGGTGATCACAGTACACCAGATAACACCAGAAGAAATGCACAGAATTTGGAATGACATGTCCAGCAAGAAACATCTTAGATGTTAAGATTTTTACAGATGTAAATACCTTTTTTTTTTAATTTTGGTTTAGTCTGGTTATTTTTTGACAAAGTGATCTGCTGATTTACAAGTTAAACTGTGGGATATTAACTGTGAGAAGATTTTTATGACTGATTTTTCATTCTCGCTTTGACTACTGGTTTACAAACTTCAGGCTCTTTTTGGTAAGGACATTACACCAACCTAAAGGAACTCGAGTCAAATCTCAGATTTTGTATATGATCTGTCACACATATCAGCTCTTGCATCTGTGTGTAAAAGGACAGTAATAAGCTATTATGAGCTGGTTAACAGTTCATGCCCCAGCCTCTGAGATAAGACTCAGACCATAAGAAACTTTTATTCTTTTCTGACACCCTACAACCATCTCTGTTTAGAGCTTTGTTAATAAATTAGGCAGTATACATTTGCACTGAAGTTATATACCTACCTTGACATGTATATTCTAAAGTACAATGTGTGTAATTCCCAAATAGCTTACTGATGGTGTAATAGCAGAATTTAGACAGGTAAAAACATCAGAGTCCCATTGGCCTTAGAAACAAACCCACACACTGAAATATATTTTCATCTACCAAATGGTATTTCTTTAATTTATTTCAGAAGACACCCCATTTCTTTACACTTTCTAAAATAGCCCATAAAAGATGTAACACAATTTAAAAATGAAGTAGAATCTATAGGAGAAATAATACAGGGGAGATGTATGAAAAATTATCTTAAAGATACATGAGAAAAGTATGACTATCTTAACTTCTAATTTCAAAGCAAGGTAATGTCTCTCATTAGTATCAAAATGGATTCTCAACTAAACATCTGGCGTAGCAATACCTAATTATATTGAATGCTAAAAGTATCAATAAGCAGCATATTTCTTCAATGTCAGTCAGTGCCATATTTACCTAAAAAAAGTAACACGAAAGCAGCTTTTTACAAGTAAGCTCTACTTTTTGCTATAGTACATACAGGCATGAGATTCTACCACATTTTTAATGGTGTTGAAAGGAAGAATTTAGTCCAATAAAAGAATGCAATCAATTTTCTGTTGTAGCAGAGTACATAAGAGTTATGTACAAATTTCACACCAAAATAGAGGGCTTTTAAGAAGCATCTAGTAAAAGAGCCCAAACAACAACAAAATATTGTAGCCTTTTTTAAAAACCTGTTAAAGCTCTCAGGTTACTTATCATAGAGCCAACATTCACTGAGGTGCCACTCAGGAGATCCCCTGAGCATGCAACAGAAATCAAATCCACGAGATTTTATTCAAGTTGTATAACGTGCTTATATGTGTTTTGAATATGAATGCTTATGAAATGTCATGAAAACTCTTTGATAAATCAAGCTCTCTCTATTCAGCACCACCTTATAACAAAGAAGTAAAATACGATATCACTCAGCAAATAACTTGGAATGAAGAACTCACAGACAAGTTACAAAGATACAAAACTCACCAAATATATTATTAGCTGTAGATTACTCACACTGTCCACAGCACACACAAAAGCCTCATCCATTTCACTTAGCATTATGTGCAACATATGCAAAACTGTTACGTCTGTATGTTATTCAGAATGTCTATAAAGTTGTCAGAAATTAACTGAGAAGAATTTAAAGGAAAGCTCTGACCTGATTTTGCCATAGGTGTACACAGCACTTTACAACAGTAACAGAGGAATGAAGATGCTACCCTAAAAGGTTTGCAGTTTCATGTCATATTGTTAGTCTTATTCACAGATGCAGCACTACCATTTTGAAAGAAACTACTTGTAAGTAAGGTAAAGTGTGCCTGGCCTTCAAGTCACTAGCAGGAGCCATCTCAAACAAATCTATTTCAGATCTAAAGGTGAAGCTATACAACAGACAGCCTAGGAGTTACTGTTAATCAACAGGAGCTTGTGTACCCTTCATAAATAAAAAAAAAAAATCAGTAACTTTTATAAAAATACTGAATCTCTTGCAGCATAATTAAGATTTATCCTTCCCTAGTTGATCTAGTTCTGTTAAAGTTGCTCTTGCTTCCTGTCAGACTCAGAACTCCAGCTAAACAAGGTACAACTGACTGCATAAGTGAATATATAACACAGTAATTGCATTAAGTTCAGCTTTTCTTACCCGAGCCCCAGAATATGCTTGTTTATGAACAGAAAGGAGGCTGGAATTCATCCCCAGCCCTCGGGTAAGTCAGACAGCATAGATGCCACTCTATCAGGAACACACTTAGTAATAATTTGAACCCACAGGCTGCAATCACTTCTGCTATCCCTCTGCACTGTGCAGTAATTTGGGGTTTCTGAATCCACAACCGAATGGATTTGGTTGCCTTACTTCTGCTGATGCTTCTGTGGCCTTGGGTTAGTAACCAAGAGGACAGCAAGGCTCCCAGTCCAGATACCTCAGGGCTCAAGTAGCATGGTAGCCTTGAATTTCTCCTACTACAAGTAGACTGCATTAACGACTGCAAGGTACACCTTGAAAATAGTATCTGAAAAAGTGTATTTCCTGCCATTTATAAATAGATAGATCTTGAACAGAAATGTAAATGCTCTTCTTGAAACTGATGTACATATTTCTAAGGCATTTTCTTCTGTATTCAGCTGTATATATGTGTAAGTCTGCTTGCTATGTAGCAGTCTGTTATGCATGGAGCTGAGTGAGGCATATTTGTCCAGTGTTTCAAGAGCCTTAAGCATGTGTGCCCTAACTTTTGAATGTACAAGATATTTTTTCTTTTGCTGTCAAGTGAATTTAATGCAACACAACAATAGCCTAATTTTCTACTTCTATTAATTTTCTGATATTAAATTTCACTAGCTTGTTACACTTCAGATTTATTATTTTCTCTTTGCTCAGAAATTTCAGTATTGCAACCTGCAGATAGAAAAGGAGCAATACATCTACTCACAGGGACTGCTGTCCCTTCCACTCAGTAGTATTTTTGCCACATGGAATACTGTTAACAAACAAGTATTTGCAATAGACTTCCTTTAATCAAAGGAACAATCAAAGAAATATTTACATTACCTTAAAGGTCATTTTGTTTCACTGAGCATGGGACAAATGACAACTTAGTTAGACATCCTGGCTTCCAGTCACATCAAAAGTGTGACTATAATCATATTTTGATTCCAAAATGTACATGAACAAGGCACATTGAGCAAAGCAGGTTGAGGGAGAAGTGCCTCTCTTTCGGAGGAGTTTTTCCACAAAAGCTTTTCTTCTTTTTTTGCTAAACCCATGAGAATATTTGAACAGAAGTCTCAAGGTTCATTTTCCATTTTTCCTAACAATAATAAGTATCAATTTTGATTCTTTATTGGGATTTTTTTGTCTTTCCAATGTAGATGGCAATGGCAATTTGTAAATGAAGAGTGTAATTAACTAGAAAAGCTTGTCAACAGTAACCAAATTTTAGGTGTATCATTATATATGACTGGCTGTACTTATGTATTTATTTGTCTAAATTGTATATATTGTTTTATCTATAGTGTCTGTAGGAGTGTATTCTTTTAGATTAATGTATTATTTACAGTTTTGTGGGGTTGCCAGCAAAGCTGCTAATCAAGATACTATTTTTTGTATCAATGTCAAAAATAAAAAAAAATTTAACAAAAACAAAATGACAAAATCAAGTGAAAAATTAAAGATGTCCTGTAAGTTTTCTTCTTCGCTTCTTTCTAGAAATGTAAATGGTATTATCTGAAAACACAGTATCAGTGAATAGGCTCATTTGTCATAAGGAAGAATATTGTGCTGTAAAAGCAGATTTTAAAATAATAATTGAAAAAATAAAAAACCCAAAATACTACTTTATTCATCATTTGTGCAACAACTTCATTAAGCTGATGTCCACATGGATCAGGTGTACTACTTCCTTTGAAGCCAAAGACATAATATTAAAGTAGCCATGGCAATGTCTGACAAAGTAGCAGATGGGTTCATCTTCTGCTTTGCCCTGTTTAGCTGGTTTGGTATCCCCAGCCAATAAGACCAAAGTCTGGTTGTTCTAAGGTGGTGAAGTTTTCTTACTCCCTTGGTCCAACAACATGGTTTCTTTTGCTACCTCCATGGTATCGTAACATGTGTGCCTGCGGCCATCAAAAACTACACACAGGAGAAAAAGAGAAAGCACAAATGCCCCAAACCCCACATCTCATAAAAACACAATAAATTGCTTTGAAGTTGCTGTGTGACCACCAGGACGGTACCTAAACAGAGGAAAAGGGTCCTCCTCTGGTCTCTCATAGATCCATATTGACCCTAACAGAGCCTTTTGCTTCCCCAAGCCCCCCAAAAGCACCTGCAAATAAATGAAGAATCACAGTGTGAATACACCCAGATTACCCAGTTAGCCTCATGTAGTGTTTGTTTACCAACACAAACATACGAAGATGCTGTTTCTTCTAGCAGGAAGGTCTGGGTGACTTTAGTGTCCTCACAACAACATAAAACCACAAAACAACACGAAAGTAGGAAAACTTCCCTTTTACTATAAGAACTAGTCATAAAAATTCCTCTCTCTCCATTGTTCCCTTTGCAGTTTCCTACGTAGAATGAAATATCTAACATCTTGACCACTGGCTTCATTTATGAAATTGAAGGGAAAATAACACCCATCCCTGAGCAGAAAGGGAGCTTTTGCAAACCAAAGTGTATTTGCTTTGTGTCACCTATTTCAGAAGCAGCTCAAGCCTGCTACAGAGTTCTCGGGCATCCCAGGAATGCCTGCAGCAATGCAGCAACCTTACAAACCATAATGAGATGATTTAAACCAACTAAGAGTTTCACATACAGTAAAACCCCTCCAATCATTTTCATCTTTCTCTCGTTTTCATGAAAGCAGCCTGAGTCCAATTGCAACACTTACATGGTGTTTAATTAATAGACAGCTTAGAGATATACAGATATTAGCACTTGTAGGATGGATTTAATGTAGTTTGATTATCTTAATTACAAGCATTCTATTTTCTCATTTACTTAATTGATTGTCATAGATTTCCAAAGAAATTTTCACTGCCCTAAGTGAAAACAGTATGTAAAAAACCTTCTTAAAACTGCTGAAACTGGCTTATTGAAGCAACAATGTGCCAAAAAAAGGGAGATCCATATGACATGAAACATTGTACTGAATAACATCTGCTTCCTTTTCTCTTGTTAAAAATACGAGTTTATGAAATGGAAGAAGAGGAGTCATCTGGGGAAAAAAAACCATTGTATTGATTCAGCTGCACCTGTAAGACTTGCCTCAAATATCACCTCTGATGACATGCCTAATGTAGGAAAAAAGATCCATTTTTCTGCTAGTTCTGCACATTAGCTGACTCTACATTATATCCCTGCCTCACCTGAAGGAGCCAAGGAGAGCAAGAGGCGATTTATTTGTCATGCAAGATTTATCCCTGAGCATTTATTCTGCAAAGGCAGCATTACATATCAAGTAAGGTAGAATTATGTGCAGTGGTTTTGTAATGCAGACAACTTTTATTTGGGGGAAGCAAATACCCCAAAATTGAGGTGTTCTGATTAACACCATATCTGCAGCTAAACAAAAACTATCAAGAATAATTCCGACCCCTACATCCCTTTTTCCTTTAGGAGTTCCTTTCTCTGGTCTATTTTCTAACATGACCTCTTTTCTTAAAGAGAAATGGGACCTCTAGGCACCTTAGCATAGTAGTAAAAGCAAGGGGAAAGCAGAGAGCTCCCTACAGTATCATTACGGAAGTGCTAGTACATCCAGTGAATAAAATTATTTAGCATGACATCCATCCTCTTTTGGCAATAAAGAAGCAGCCACAGAAGTGAGATAAGCCACAACCAGCACCTGGGCCCGTCCATCTTGATGCATGAGCTGTTTGGCTCCAAGTGCATCACGCTCAGATCATGCACCGATTCTTTCTTAGCACAAGACATTTATAGGAACATCTTAACAGAAAAGTGGTGCCAAAACGTAGCAAGAGCAGAAAGGGATAAATTTTTTTATTGTTTATTCACTTGCATTAAAATCCCTCCTCAAAAAGCATCTTCTATTGCAGGAAGTTTCAACAGTTATCCATTATATACTAGATCTTATCCTCACACAACCTTAAGGACAGCCCAGTGTAACACTGGTCTCCATTATCCGCTGTACTGCAGACTGCATTTGGCTTGAGCTGTGAGAGGCAAATCAGATTTGATTCAAGTCACAAACCCCATAAGTTTCTATGGGATTCATGCCTGTTTTTAAAGGGCTGAATTTCATCCTCTGTCCAACTCACGTCTTACAGTGAAATCAGCTGGAATATCATCTGGGTTCCTGGGGAAGAACACTGTATCCCATGCAGAACTTCACTCATCAGAAACTTCACCTCTTATCAAACACGAACAGGAAGACAAAGGAAGTAGTAATCCCTCCAATTTTCCATTAAGCCTGCTCTTTATGAAGACAAAGTAGATAGAACACGAGACCAAGGCATTTGTAACCTGTGCAATGAAAGCAAGCATATAGCACTAACTCTTGACAGGAGTGGGCTCTGTGCTGAGTTATCTGTCACCTGGCTCTCTACCAGTTCACAAATATGTTACATTCTGCCCACAAAGTCTGTTTGGCAGCACTAACAAACACATGCCACTATGGGAGCAAGAGCCCCACAAGGCCATGCTTACTTCTAGCAATTGTTTCTTTTTCTACACGGCTTTTATTTCTGAAGTCACTGCATTGGAGAAAAACTGGTGCTATAATGATGCCTTTCTTAAACTTCATTCATCTGGAAGAATCCCAACAATCTAACTTCAGATTTATTTTCTTCCCCCTTGATAATGCAACAAGTATAGATGGTCTTTTCAAGTTGGCATCAGGACTTGCTGGTGTCCCTCCAGTTCTTTCACCTCTATTCATCTGACCAGTCACCTCCCTCAAAGCTTCCAGTGTGAATCCCTTCTGGCTCTAGTCTCTTACCTTAAAGCAACACTAAACCTGCTCCCTTTTCTCTGTGTGCAGGTAGCTCTTCATTTAGGTAGTTCCAGCACCCACAGAGCTCCCCCTCCACACTCACATACCCTTGTCTGACTTCAGGCATCAGCAGATCCTTCAGCTGTGGCTTAGCCCTCAACACATTCTTCTTCCCTGTATCTCCTTCTGCCAGCATGCCCTGGAAAGCTGTCACCTGTCTGCTTTCCTATTATTCTTTCTTCTCCTTGCAAGAATGTTTACTTCTTTCCATTATTAGTTTTCACAAAACTGAGAGTTGCACATGGTTTGCCAGTCCCAGCTTAAATTCATTACCATAAGATAGGACAGGCACCTTGACCTTCCTACATGTCTTTCTCCTCCTTTTCTCTTCCCACTCCACCTTTTTGTTTGATTTACAAAAATCTCTTTAACCTCACTCTGTTCTTCAGTAGTTTTAATCTGCTTCAATCTGGTACAATTCCCTGTAATTTTCATCACTCTCCATTTTCCTTATGTGCTTTTGCATAGCTTAGCATTCTTCCATCTAAATGTATCCATTCAAGCCAGCCACAAAAATAAGAACACAGGGGTTTCATGAAGAGATGGTCCCTACACTGTCCCTACACTGTCCAGTACGTGGCAAAGTGAATTCAGCCAGTTTCAGGGGACAAGTTGTGCTTGAAGTAGTTCCTTCAAGAACCTTTTCTTTGATATTGCTTGGTACAGTTTAAAGCAAATGGAGAAAAACCAGGTCCATCATCTTTCATCTCGCTTCTGCCTGCAGAGATCACTGCAGTGCCCAAGAGATCTCACTGTCATACACTTTGTAAGGTTGGTTTTTTTTCCCTTATTCCTTTTACCTTTCCTCACATAACCTTGAATAGTTCATCAGAATACAAAAAAGCATTTTTTCATATTTTAACTTCCATTTAATCAAGTATACTTTATCTCAGAACTTCAGTGTTTTAACCTTTTTATCTGCTTCTGCTCCCTGTGTTGCCTCCATTTTCTTCATATCTTCCCAATAGTCTGACACTGTGAATTTTACAAGAGTATTTGCATGAAGGCTGAGCACAGCAGTAGTTTTCTCTGTCCCTGTTTCTGAGGTATCAACAACTGCATTATTGGATTAGTTTCACCAGTCAGGACAGTTTATCTTATGTTATCACATTTAAAGCAGAAAATGAACTTCTGCTAGTATCTGGAACAGACAACAAGTCTACAGGGCTAGAGCAGCTATAAACATCGTAGGTGTTGCTAAGGAAACTTTCCCAGTCTGACCATGCACAAGACACTCCCAACACCAGAGACGTTCACTGCTGGGACTGAAGCCCCTTCACACCAGCAGCTCCAGTGGTACCCACTTGACTCTCCACACACCCCACTCACAGTCAGACCAGTTTCCTTACCAGTTCACCCCATGTTTCCCATGGCAGAGTTTCAAATATCTCATTCCATAAAGCAATTTATTCACGGTGCAGTAACACAGAAACAGCTTGAGCTGCTGCCTCCAAGGAGGGACCTCCAACAAAGGAACTGGGCTTTTATACCCTCACAGTCCAAGTGCAGGAAAGTCTCACTTTTCCTCCTGTGTCCTCCACTCCTGCTGTGTCTCCCAGTATCCATTTACCTGGAAAGGGGTTGGCAGTTCACAGCCTTTTGTCTCTCTGGGCTCCCACCCAGAGCTCACTCTGCATCTCGCACCACAGCTTGCAAACTGAGCTACCTGCACAAGATGCAGCTGTCAACAGACCCACACTATTTTTAAAAGTATGTAGCTAATGAATTTTATATTTCCCCTCACAAAAGCCATAAAAAGGTCCAGATCATTCAGGATAAAGCCATCAAGGTGCACTGAGGCTTTG